CGGGGACACGCTGCAGGGCATTGCCCTCAAGTACGGCGTCACGGTAAGGCGAGCGCCGCCGGGGCGGGGCTCAGTCCCGGAGGCTGCAGGGCCGGTAGCGGCGATTGGTTCTCGTAACAGCGGCGGGCAGGTGTTAGGCCCAGAAAAAGTAACGGAGCCAACGGGGGAGAGGCACTGGAAGTGGAAAGCAGCTGAGAGGTTACAGTATGAACTTGTCCAGAGCATTTCCTACCCGTAGTGGGCAGAAGATCCAGTTCTTACCATGGATACGGTGCTAGTTTTAGTTTCAGTATTTAAAATGCTGACATCCCAATCTTATAACCTGCTTGAAGGGGTCAGCACCCAGTTCCGATGGCAAATGGGTGAAGTTTGCACTGCCTGAGACAGGGCACAGGGCCTTTTCCCGCACGGGCTTGAAACTACCAAGTGCTGCGTTTGTGGGACTCACCAGTGGCCTCTAGGGAAAGGAGATACACTTACTGCCACCGAGTAAACCTATGCTCACCTGGCAATTCACCCCTACACTCACTTCAGATTTTAAAAAAGTAATTAAACTTACATTAAAAAGAATCATTATTTTTGAGGTTGACACATAGGCTGTGACAAGAAGAAAAAACTTTCTTCCAGTTTTAAAAGTGTTGCTGCTTTTCTGCTCTCTTCCTATGGAGAGGAAAGTTTACTTCCGTGGAAAACATAGAAAGACTTATGCCAATCTAAGACATGCAGAGCCCAATAGGATCTACCAGCACGCCCTAACACCACCATTCCCCACAGAGCAGAGCTCACCTACCCTACCTTCATTCCAGCTTATTTGGGGCCCAGTGAGCTACCAACTGACATACCTGTACACAGCTTCAGTAGTCCCAGCATGCAAAATTGCTTGGGACAAAGCAGCTGATGAGCATAGCTAACAGCATGTTACTAGCACACAGTGAATGCCACTTTCACATGAGCTGCAGAGAGCGCTTTCCAGTTGGACTCTTCCTAGGAGAGGTACAATGCAGTCCCAGTTTAATAGGTTCTGACTGGAACAGGTTTCTTTTCCTTCTCTGATTATAAAAGATCTACACTAAAGCCTTCCAGCAGCTTCAACAGCATTCGGCCTTTGTTGTGATAAGGCTTAAAAGTCTATTTTTCTTCCCTTAAAGATTAAGCCACTTTTCACCAAGTGTTGTTGGCAACAGGATTAATGGCAAAGTTTTGCTCACCACAGGGGCAAAGCGAAGTGACCTGAGCTGCTCATTGGATTTGTTTGAATTTTTATTTTTGGCAGTGCTTTCCATAATGGATAGTGTCTCACCTAAATGACTTAGGTATGTTGTTTTTCATTCAGAAGTGTATTTGCTCACTGCAATAAGTGAAAAATATACAGATCACTAAAATAGTAGGTTTCTAGAAAAAAGATATTTCTAAACACTGTACAACTCCCTTTCAGCTAAAGTGAGGTTGCTGATCAAACCTGTACTCTCTGAAAAAAATAGGTTTAACTTATGAACCATAAGCTTTATTCATAGTATGAGTTTAGTAAGCTTTTGCTGTGCTAATGATGCATTTAAAGTATAAATGCTGTTTTTTAAACATACCATTTGTTATTTGATTTAGTGTTGCTAATATTCTGCATGAGAAGCCAAAGCTGCATCTTTATAGACTTCAATTGAGAAAGGGACATTTCTTGTCAGTTTAACCTAAGAGCAATGCCAAGTTAGCTGAAATCAGCCATTGTGTTTTTGCTTTAATGGTTTTCAACTTCGGGTAGGAACGTATGCAAACATGTTTGCTTTTAGCAAAATGAAGAATTGAATGAAAGACTGACTTCCTGTAAAGAGTCATTACATTGCTTCTGTACTTGGCTAGAAGTGGGAGTTGCTGCAATGGGAACATCAGAATTATCTTTGGCTGCCATTGCCTCCAGTATTACCATTTTTAGAAGTTCCCCCCTGTGGTTTTCCTCACTGAGAGTTACTTTGTAGCAAGAGACATCCTGTCCACTGCTTGCCTTGGCATGACGTAGCATAGGCAGTTTAAGATGCATGAAAACACTATGTTGGGGCAAGAGATGTGTGCTTTGTTTGGCCTCATTCTCTGCCCTTCACCCCTCTCCCCAGATACTGTCTATTAATCTTGTATGGCTTGCATTCATTAGATCTTCCTTTGAACCCTGCTGGGTAAATTAACACAGAACTAATGTTTAGTATCACATTTATGGTTCAGTTTGAGTGCTGTTTTCCATCATACAAAGGTATCCTTTTTGATGGGAGAAGGAAGAAGGCTTTCCTTTGTCATTAGAAGCAGTTTTGATGGATTAGCTCAGCACCAGTTTATGCATCAGTGCAGCTTCAGTGAAAGTATTAAGAGCAAAGGCTTTAGCACACGCTTTCACTGTTATAGGTCTGTAGCTAAGACATTAGTTCAGTTTTCATAGCACTAAAAACCCCACTGTTTTTCAGGCCTGCTCTCCATACACCTATGAATGTATGGAGCCATACTGAGTTGTAGAAGTAGTACATATTGCACATATCAAGTAACCTGCTCAAGGCTGAGGGATGTTCTTTTTAGAACCAAGTATTTCCCATTTCATTGTTACTCAGTACAGAGGTGCAGTCTTCCAAATGCCATGAGATAGTATTTAAAAGGTAATTTAGAAAGAAATAACCAGAGGTAGAGTTGCAGTGAAATAGGCTAGAGAATAGCTGTACAGTGCATTATTTATCACCTACTGAAGCATCATCTTCCAGCTCCCCTGTAGTAGAGATCTGTTTTCAGCTTGTGTTGTATTTTTAGAGAAAAGCTCCAGCTAGCATTTTAAACATTTTTTGATACCCATCAAGACAGACAGCTTCTAGAGATTTTGACAATTGACATTTACACTAGCATCTGATGGCCCTTATAGGTCTCATTACTAAGTCAGGTGAAGCTTCCTTTATGCCCTTCAGATGGTACTCAGCTTGGGAGAGAACTAACACCATATACCATGTAAGGCTAACTAAAAATAGTTTCCAGGCTTCAGGAGCTGGAAGGGTAATAAGCTACTCATAGTAACTTACTGTCTGACCCTGAATGTTAGCTCTTCAGTTTTTGAAAGAGATTATTCCAATCATTTCATCGTCTTAGCCATCTGCATCAACAGGTTGGGGTTGTCTTTGAGAATACCATTTTTGTATATTTAATGGGTAGAAATAGCTTACTGCTGAGCTTTACTGCACAGTTTTCACTACTTCCCCATACACCTAGCCTTTCTAGAGAGAATCTCCTCTTTATTTTTAGGGAGAAAGATTTCATTAGGCTTCCAGGACCCAAGCAAGTGCATCCATACATGACACCAGGCCTACAATGGCATTGCAGCAGATACTCTTACTACACAGTACAGTTCTACATTGCATGCAGTGGTTTATTCCAGTTCTGCAAGTAGCCAGTCTCATATCTGCAGAGAAAAGACAGACTAACATCTCCACTGATTTCCCTTGGTTTTAGACAGCTTCTCCTGCTAGTATGTTCAGTGTAAGAAATGCACAGGCACGTTAATCCAATTATTATCAGTTAACAATGGTCTTGTCTTTTGCAATTGGCAAGGACTCCAAGTAGTGGCAAAGTGTAAAAGAGTTTAAGACTGACAAGGATAAGATGGTAGAGCAGTTTTTTCATCATCTGAGCACTGAACTCAAGATAATTCAGACTCTGAAGTAGTGAGTGGTTAGCACTTGTGTGCTCAACTTTTTCTGGGTGATTATACTATCAGTAAGACTCCTATTACAAGACTTAGTCTTTATTCTTACTCAGTTTAGCTCCATTTAGTTTAATAAAAATGAATAACACTAATGCAGGCAAGAGGTATTTTCTGTTCTCTTTACACTTGTGTTCAAGCAGGTTTAGAGTGCATTTATCATTGTAGTACTGTAGTGATTAAGGATTTCTGCTTATCACAGTCACCAGTGGACCAGAATGGTCACTTTTCTTTCTTTCACTTAGGACTTCTCCTAATGAAATCTGAGTTCAGGTTATAAGTAAAGCTTAAAGTCACATAATCATGGCTACCAATTTCTGTGCTTTTTTTAAAGCTTGCAATTGAGAAATAGGAAGCTAGTTTAACTGTTGTTGACTTGGAAGGGAAATTTTGAGTAAGAACTTAAACAACATTCTCAGTAGGGAGATAGTAAACATTTACTGGGAGCTTTTCTTTGCCTGTAAAGCAATGGCATTTATAATAGCTTCTCAGGTTAAGTATAGAACAAATGAAGCTTTATACATTAATATGCTGAGAAAGATGGAGCCTTCTTACTTCTGTCATGAGATCATCTATACTGATGAGTAGGTTGTAAGAAGTACTTAGGTAAAAGTTGCATAAAAAAATATTTAACAGTTATATGGTGGCTGTTACCATGTGTTGTTACATACATGAAGTTGCTGTTGATTCAGCAACTGTAGATTCACTTTACTGAACAAATGCAGCTGCTAGTCTATGCAGCTGCATTACAAAGTGTTTAAGAGCCCCCCCCCATTATTTTCACTGCCTGACTTCTCACTGAAAATCAGAACTTCATCTGAAATCAAGTTGTTACATCAGGTAGGAGAGGAAATACCATGGATGAGGCATATACTGCTCTTCCAAGACTGGTGGTGCTCACTGTTCATAACTAACATGTCCTAGAATGCTCAAGGTAACTTTATCACCCCTTGTTTGTATTATGCATGTCTTTTACCAGAGGGTTCACCTACAGCAGCTGCTAGCAGTTCTAAGCCTTACTGTAATATAAATCCAGATCAGCAGCACTTTTGCCGTAGAATTTTTATTCTTTGGCAAGTTGTTTATGTGAGCCTGTATGGAGATTAGAAAACAGTTCAAGAAAAGCATCTTTAGGTAGTGCAAGACTTTAGAAAGACCACTATTTTGGAGTCAAATCTACATAAAAGGAAGAAGCTAGGGTGTTGAGTTAAAAAGGGTAGAGACAGAACATACCCTCTGAAATCACTTTACAAAAAGTCCCTTCCTGAAGTCATTGCTGCTGCAACAAAAGTATAGATTTATTGTAACTAAAGGTTACTGTACTACTTCAGAAGGTTAGTACTTTATACTTTGCCAAAACCTAATAACTTATATTTTTCCTATCTTTTTCAGATGGAACAAATAAAGAGGGCAAATAAACTGTTCACTAATGACTGTATATTTCTGAGGAAAACCCTGAATATTCCTGTTATATCAGAGAAACCATTACTGTTCAATGGACTTAATTCACTGGAGTCTCCTGAGAATGAAACTGTTGACAGCTCCTCTTCTTGTGATGAAGGACTAGTGACAGTTCAGGAAGAAAGTAGTTCTTCTCCCAGTCCCCAAGAGCCTGACAATCAGCCCACTGCACCAGAAGAACTGTCTGCCAAAGATTTCCTACAGAGATTGGACTTGCAGATTAAGTTATCCAAACAAGCAGCCAGAAAACTAAAAGATGACAATGTCAGGTAAATGCCACTTTCAGTATTAAGCATCTTAATCTCATCCTGGAGGGTTTTTAGTCTAAGATGAACCCTCTTCATGGAGTCTTAGACAACATCTGTAGTTTTAATTTGTCAACAGCAAGTCTATGCTATTATCATGCAGCAGATACATTCAGAGCACACCATTGGCAGGTGCCTTCATGTGGCAGTTATAAAGGCTACCTCACAATATGTTGTTTATGGAATAGCAATAATATTCCATGAAAGCTAGAACACCAGTATTCTCCAAGATGTCTTGCTATGTAAGTGGGCAACTATTTAAGCAAACCCATAGTTTTCAGTAGAGTACTAAGCCAAGGCCTGTGTGGAAGCTGATTGTGTACAGCAAGGCATGATTGCATTTTTCTTCTGTCCCAAATTGCCTCATAATTGTGCAAATATTCTGTGTTGCAATTTCAGTTAAGCTATCCTATCTCCTTTCCCAATGTAGTCCCTCCCTTGTGGATCCAACTGTGTAGACCTCCATCTTTTCTTCAGCATTTCTTCTACAGGCAGGAGCTCCCACACACTTACAGAAAAAGCAGTACATTTTGACCTCTCTACCACAGTGATTATCCCCTTACATATGTAGGTATCCCATGGAGAGTACAGAAAGACTTAGAGTGAGAATGGACTTCAGTAGTGTTTGTTTTCCCATGTTCTTGGGACAACCTTCCTCAGCTTGTTCACAGGGAGTCTCTTGGGCTGGTTGTCTGTCATGTTTATTCTCTGCAGAAATTGCCTCAGTGGGTGATGCTGAGGTGGCCTTTCTTGACAATAACGGGTATGACTGGAGGGAGCCAGCACTCTGTCATGTTAAGAAGTAATCTTTCAGGACCAAATCTATTGAGCATAGAGTCCCATAATTTCTTTAAGAAGTTAAGGTATTGTTTCAGCAACATAAAAACTTCATTCAGTAGACAAAAATTTGAGGAGCAGTATGTTGCATTTAGCAATTGGACAGGCCTCATGTGGAGAAATATCCCATAAGACAGCTTAAGATAATTCATTACCTATTGCACTCCACATGCAACTCTCCATCGCCAGAAGGGCAGTGGTTTAGAGTTAGTCTTGGAGAAGGCTGGAATGCTTTCACATCTTGTTAAAACACTTGTCAGTTATTTTCTTTTGAATTGATTACATCACAAAGGAAAAATAGCTCTTTGAACTCAGATCCTTCTCTGTTCAAATATAACAATGCAAATGAATGAATTTGAAACAATGTAGACTATCAAAATGTGTAGCTGCTGATTGTCAGATCATTAGACATTCGTATCTAACACAGATTAGAGTGGGTGTTGACCCAGCAGTTAAGCTGGGTCACAGGAAATGACAGTCTGTGCCAGAGGAAGGTGGTTATTTTGACATCCCTTCAACAAAATAACATGCTAATTTATGGAAGGAAATTCATGTAGACCTTGCTGCGCCATGAGCAGAGCCAATACAGTGAGTGACCCACAGAAATAATACACCGCTACTAGCAATATCCATTTCCTATATTGCTTAAGTTGCAACTTGAGGAGTGAGCACCTAGTACCAAATTTCCTCCCAAGGAGTAATGGATACAGGAGGATGAGTTACTTTCCTACCTCCTGTTCAGATTTAGCAGGTAATTTTGTTAATTATGCATAGAGCACAGATTTTTATTGGTCTTGATGCTACAGGAAGCATGAAGTACAGAGCTGCAGGCTATCTGCTGAGCAGGATGGTATCTAAAGCTTCTGAAGAGAAAAGCTTCCTGTATGTCTGATAAAGTCTTTATAATGTCACCTGCCACTCCACCACCTCTGGCTTTCAGTCATGGCTCACAAAAAACCACACTTGCCTTATCTTCTCCAGCTGTGCTCACCCCTTCACAGTCTGACAGGAAGTGCCAAAGGACCAAAGTAAATGTTTACTCCTTGCAGAGAGCAGGAGTAGGAGGAGACCACTGCCAAAAGTCCTGGAGATACTTTTCAGCTACATACCATCAATGGTGTTTTTGGGCCCAGACTGGAAGGTGGCAACATTCCTTACCATGCTCCAGCAACTCCCCAGGAGGCACCTGTTCTCCCTTCTGCCTATACCTTTCTTGGCCCTTGCTTGGATAGGAAGCCTTGAAAGTTAGACAGCCATCATGATAGTAAACCAGCCTCATGGATGTGCAAGTTGTTCATTCTTAGAGTGAAAGCCATTTATGAAATTAAGAGAGTGCTGTTCCCAGCTACTCTGGCCTTCTGTATTCAGATTGCCTTGTCAAGGCCTGTTTAGAACGTGACCTGCACCAACACTGCAGGGTACTTAAGTGCCTGTTTGAGTGTAAGAAGGGAGCTCCTAGAGTCACATCTGCTACCACCAAAGGGGACATTGAAACTAAGAAAACTGCAAGCAGAAGCAGACTGTCCATTCCAGAACTTGAAGAGTCATAAATTCTCACCTTACCCATGAGCCTGATTTGACAGATGGAGAGAATCATGACATCTCAAATTGCTCTTTACTTTGGTCTCCCTTAAAGTTACCAAGAATGCATGTGTGTACATGCACCAGTTCTGATCAAAGTGTACTAATCAGAAACTGCATTGTGCTACAAAGACAGCTTAAGGTGAATTACATTAACTCTTGAAATCACCCCTTTAAGGGCTCTCAAAGGAGTAAAATATATTAATCTCTTCAGCCAGCTTCTTCCCAGCTAAAGCCTTTTGCTTTTAGGTAGAAAAATGGAGGAGCACATAGGTGCAGATGTAGACTAGAGATTCAACTTTAATAGCTGTACAGGTAGATGAACATTAAAGATTATAGAATGTAAATGAATACCCATTATTAGTTTTATCTACACATGGAAGAAAAGCAACTTGTAATAGTTTGAGAAAATATGGTAGTACATCTTGCCCAAAATGCTGTTAGGCATGATTCAGAATGCCAAAGCTAAAATTAAGTTTAGTGATGCTTTTTGTATCAGGTAGCTGAACACCAGAGGTCTAATGCAAGCTCTATAAAGAGTCCTTAGACTTACAGAGTCTAGAGTAGACTAGAACACTAGGACCATATACTGTTGCCTCCGAGACAGGTCACAGCTTTCTGCATTTGCCTTTTAGTGACTTATTTTGAAAACCTTGTCATTGACTAGAGCCACTGTAATCACTGTTGGTTATACAAGCCAATATAACTGCTGTGCAGCATGGTAACAGAACCATACATTGTCATCTGCTCATTTGCCTTGACCTGAATCTAGTAAAGAGTAGGGTGTTGAAGCATTTGAAACTCATAACTAATTGAGTTAATTTGCCCGATAATTTTTCACCATCATTGGCTATCAGCTATGAAAACAGATACCTCAAAGGAGGCTGGCTGTGGAGAATCCTTTCAGACTTCCAAAAGCTATTAACTCACAAACTCAGATCGCTGCCTTGTTTAACTGTGGATTCTAGAAGCATCCAAGCACTGGTTTTGAGTTTACTTTTTCACTCAGGTGTGCTTGGTCTTAGAGTGGTTATGCATCACGCCACAATAAAAAATGCTAATACAATAGCTTGCAGTAGATGTCTTTCAGCTGCTGTAACCTACTGGGTAATTTGGCAACAGCAAATGGGAAGAGACAGCACTGTGAAGCTTTGTAATGCTGTGCTGTTCCCTTCCCTTTGCCTGAAGGAGAACATTGCTGTGATTTACCACTTTGCTATTTTAAGCATCTTAAAAGTGAAGAAAGTTGCTTGGTCATTAAACATACACACACTGCCACATTGGTGCTTGTGGGCCATGGGCCAGAGCTGCTACTATGTAATTTTATTTCATGTAAAGCTTGGCTTGTTTTTAAGCCATTGGAACAGACCTTTATTTGTTATGTACAGTTCTGAAGATCTACACTAATAATATTTCCTGGCCATTACCTTGGTTTGGAGTAATGCATTGTAGAACTCATCGCATAGCCTAGCACTGCAGCCTGGGACAGAAGGTTAGAAGCTGTTCTTGCCAGCCCTTAGTGCCAACTACAGCATGCCTAAGCCTTGCTCAGAGATTTATTTTGCACATTACAGCCAGTCACTGCTTTGCTTAGGTTCAAGCATAATGACCTACTACATGGTTCTTGTGTCCCTGCCACACACAGAAACCCCTCAAAGCTGGCTGTAACCCAAGTGCCAGTCTTCTGCCTTCTAGCAATTGCCAAGTAAGAGCCCATAGTCCAAGTGTGTATTTCATAAGGAAAGTAGAGACGAACAGCTTAGAGTAGTGTTTTGTTACTTTGATGTCTGAAGACCTGTTAATATAACATCACTGTTTCAACTCTTCAGTTTCCATATTCACCTCTACTATCCACCATAATCAACTGCAGCTAATTTCAGTCCAGTGTTTGGCTGTTGCTGTGTCATTATGGATGTTATTCTTATATTCAGGCTTTCAAGAAAAATGACTGAAAGGCTGATTCCAGGAGCCTCCGATTAGAAGGAAGGTCTTTTTACCATAACTCTGCCATATTTTATTCTCCTAAAAGGGGAAATCAACCAAAACTAAGTAGTACAAAGTAATTTTCAGTGTACAGCATACAAAGTTTCTCCCTTACTGGATAGTCTAAGCTCTGAAAATATAAAAGTTCCTCATCCTTACAAACTAGCAGGAGATTGCAATTTGCAATTATGTTCTGGGCATATGTGGCTAGAAACCCATTGCCCCAGAAGGGCATACATCAGAGCTTGAGAATACACTTCTTGAAATATTTAGCTTCAGGCAAGTAGTTATGGTTGAATTTTACAGTCCTGCAGTCCAGTCTTACAAGCTTGGTATGTTGATAGGTTTCAATTCTGAAAAAAGTTTTAAAATATATTGTCTTGAGACAATTTATAGATCAAAAGTGCTTTAGTGCTTATTCAACTAAATGTTAATTGTTTGTTTCCTTACTTGACTGTCATGCCAGGTATTATGAGCACCATCTGCAAATCAGTATTCCATGGCAATTTTGAATGCAGAAGTGATGATATAAAGAAAGATACTACTTAAACATACACAGATCATCTGTATCTTAAGAGTCATGCTTGGTACTGGGTCTGTAGCATTACTAATGTAGATAGATGTAGTATTTGTAAGAAAGGCTAAAAATCTCTTCTCAGTGCTACTGTAACCACACATCCCTGCAATAACTACCAGTTTCATGCAACCTGGTTTTTTTGAGTTTTTTTTTTTTACAAGATTGTTTCAAGGCAAAAGAAATGCCATGTCATTGACTTAAGATAATTTTGCTGGACCACCCAAGAACAGGGAAGGGCTGGGAAAGTGAGTGCAAGTTATTTAGCTCATTGGTTAGTTTATAGGGTTCTTTCCTCCAGCTCTGTTCTGGGGGGGTTATATGAAATTTAAACTGTAGATAATCATGTTTAGAAGTTAGTAGGGAAAAGTCTGCATGATTGGGGTTTGGAACACTATTGAAATATATAGTTTTTACCTTATACCATTATTAGACTATTTGAATAACTGTACCTTTATATGGAGGCACATGCAGTATTAGAAGTAACTGGAAATCCTTTGAAGCTCACAGTGTAGCAACTGTTAAGTCTTTCTGTTCTCACCAAAACACTAAAATTGGCAGCAGTTTTAAGAATAGGCTCTCAGGAACATAGTTTTGAAGCTACAGTAGTAGAAAACAATGATCTTTGGAGAACTTGGCATGCTTGAATTAGTACTGGATGCTGCACTGCAATTAGGTTTACATAACTGCTTTTTTTTTAAAGGCAATAACGTCAAGTAAACAGACAGACTGATTTTTCCTGAGGATTGTTTTAATAGCAACACTACTTTGGTTTATCCAGTCATTGCATTAGCAATAGCACTTGGAGGCAACTATTTTCTAAGAAAATCCAAGTGATCAGTCTCAATATTGGTTGAGGCACAGGAAACACACATCAAGGAGCCCACTGAAGGAACATCCTTGCAGCATCAAGGCACAGATCCAGCTACAACTATGATGGACTGCTGCCATTCTTGCCTCATTTGGTCCATCTGCATCCCCTGCCATTCAAAAGGCTGAAAAACTAAGCTTGCTTTTTAAAAAAAAGAATTTGAAAGCAACAGTACTGAAACTCCAGCATGCCCTCCCCTTGTTTATCCTTCACTATTTTACATTGATTTGGCACTGTAGTGTCAAGAATAGTTCATTAAACTCTAAATACATTCTGATGTTGAACCTGCACAGCTTTACTTGTTTTCAGCATTCTGCTCTTGGAACATAACGAGAACTCCAGAGATATATAGTGAACAGTAGCATACTACAAGTAGCATTCCTGTTAGGCAATGCCAATCTTGCCTATCTATTTTGATCCATTAGGAAAACTGGTTATCTGCATTTGCATTACAGTTTTACTGCTGAGACATGGAATGTTCCTGATCTGATGATTATGATCATTTTCTTTTTAGAGAGGAGGAGAATGAGGAAGGCCTCTATGCAACTTCTTCGTATCACCAGTAGAAGACAGATGTGATGGCCTGAAAACTTTCCATGAAATCAGTTCTTAAAGAACTAAATGGTGAATAATTCAAAACCCAAGTCTTTTGGACTCATCTTGATGTACTTAAAACAAGTCATGAATGGGTAATTGCACTGAAATTATGACCTCTTCTGCCTTCCATAGGTTAATGTCCTTATGCTATATCAACAAAGGGTTTAAGCCTTCCAAAACTAGCAATGGCCTTTATGCCCCTTCTGTGCAAACTGCAGCATGGTAGCAACAATATATCCTTGAGGTCACCTTTATGCAGGATGTTGATCTTTAGTAAAGATTTTGTAAATACTTGTTAGAGTGAAATTTGTTTTAAGTATTTAAAAATACGAAATAAGTTTGCTTGTAAATGACCAAGTATGAAAATAATAGAACTTTACTTATTCTGCAAACACAGGCAGGTTTGCTGTGGAAGTTTTGTCTACTTCAGGGCTGCAAAACTTGCCTCTGAACTCTGTGTGTGTGTCTGTGTGTGGTTATGATGTATTCCTAGAAAGGGGAATTTGACTTGTTTTGATTAGTTAAAGCCTTTGCGGTTAAACAACTGTTTGCAAATTGGATTTCTGCTAAAAAAGGGAAGAGTTACAGCAAGAGATTTTTCTTTGTGAGATACGACATTGGAATATCAGATGTGTGTTCTTGTGTGCAGTTATATTTTGTGTGGTTTTAATTTAATAAATACAAAAATACCAGTGTGTCTGTTCATAATGAAGGCAGCTTGATTCCAGTCTGGTTTTTGTGAAGAATGGTTTGTCTAGTGACATGGGCTATTATATGGTAATTTCAGGGCAAATAATGTCCTTTATCTTTACCATATAGCTCACCCTCCTAACCAAGACCTGTAAGAACTATTTGATCTAGTTGTGCAGTCAAGACAACTGTATTAAGATTAATAAGAGCCACACAGGTAAGCCTTCACTGTTCTGGGAAGAGATGCCAGTATTCAGGTCTGCAAGTGGACCCCACCTGAAGCTCAGGGAGGCAGAGCGCAGACTGTGTTCACTCTTTGCCCTGAAGTTAATATATTAGCAACTTCTGGTTAAGCATCCTACAATTTTTCTTCAAGTATTCAGTAAGCTTCACAAAACTCTTGTGAGTAAAGAATTGCTGGATCTCCACTGTGACAAATGCCGTTTCCTGTCCTTCAGCTCATTTATATAGTTTTTTTTCCCCTCAAAGCAAAAACTTTCTGCAGTATGTTAAGACGGAAGCAATATGGAAAGTCACATTAATTTACTAAAACTAGAAATAAAAATTCAAAGCTAGACAGGAATTGGTATTTCCCTAGAGCTTGCAGGAACTCAGACCTGGCAAGCTCATTCAGACCATCTCTACCTCTGGTCCTAAAGAGGAGGTCTGTGGTGGCACACAAATTAAGAAGAACAGAGAAAGCTTAGAGTGAATAAAAGGAAGCATTAATTTTTCTTTAAGAGACTGGTGAATTAGTTTTAGGTCTTCTATCTTTCTTAAATTGAGATTTGTATCTATTCCTTACAGGACTTACAGGACAGTAATTTCTATTGTCAGTTAATTTCAGTAGACATTACTGGAGCCAGAATAAACTACTTTTCCAAAGGCAATCCTACCTTCAAGCCCAGTTACATTTTATAACCCTACAGAAAAATTTAATCTTTTTCTGCCAAAGGCCTGCTACTGCAATACCCCCACCTGTCCAGCACACGCAGGACCAGGGTGCTTTGCTGAGCAGGTCAGAAGCACAGCTTTCCTTGCATAGCTGGCACACCTCCTGGCAGCCACACAGTGCTGACCAAGCTCCTGGCACAGTGACATTTCACTCCATCCTTCCCAAGAGCACCGCTGTGCTCATAGCCTGGAGGACCTTCAGGACAAGCAACAGAAGATCGGTCACACCATTTACACCTATTTTTCCCCAACTGAGAAAGCCACACAGAAGTGCAAGGGAAGAAGCAGCTATGCCAGCCTGAACAAGCCAGAGATGTAGTCAGGCAGAGGCCCACGACCGCACACCCTCCCCCTCAGATGGCAGCAGCCACACCAGCAGATTTCAGTCCAGCCACGCCCTGATCGGCCCACAGCACCTCTCCTCACTGGAAACCCCACCACACCAGCGCTCAACATGGCCTCCATTCCAAAACCATTAGCATAGCCCAGCAGGGGCACATAGCCCACCCGTTCCACACAAGCCCCTTCCCACAGGGAGGACGTAAAGGCCACCATTAACCACAACAAAGGCTGCCTGCCAGAGGCCCTACCTTGCCAGCCACAGCGCAGGTCTCTGCTCCTCACATGCCACGCAGACATTCTTCACAGAGCCCCAAGGGCTCAGGGCCAGGCTAGAGAGGGCCTTAGCTTTTACTTCCACTTCAGCCCTTCCAGTCCTATTTACCAAAATCTGCAATAACCCCTCTCCTTCTGGTGGAGGCTGCTTTTTATGGCCGCAGAGCCTCCCAGCCTGCTGTGGGGCCTGACGAGCCCCTGCCCACAGCTGGGCCC